ATAAATATAAATATAAATATATATATATATATATATATTTTATATACATGTATTTTATATATATACATGTATATACATGTATATATATACATACGCATGTATATGTATGTATATGTATGCTTGTATGTATGTATTTATGCATATAAGTATATATGTACGTATGTACGCACGCATGTTTGCATATATGTATATATATAGATATAGATATACAGATATATATAGATAGATTTAGATATATATATATACATATACATATATATATAAATATTTTTATATATACATACATACATACGTACATACATATATATATATATATATGTGTGTGTGTGTGTTTGTGTTTATATATACATACCTGCGTGCGTGTGTGTGTACACGTAAATAAATATGCATATGCCTCATATATATGAAATGAAATACCTACATGCCCGATCACATACCTTCACAATCTTCGCGGTCCTAAGCACGGGGAAGGCATCTGTACATCGTGCAATGATTGCCTGTACTTCCTCCAGACTCGCCTCTTCATCAAAACTGTCCGACTCTGCGATCTAAGGTTAAAGGTATATACAAAAAAATACAAAATAGAGTACGTAGTCATTGCACGTTTGCATGTGTGTATCTATGCATACCACCACCACCCATCTCAAGGGGAACCAGCGGCAGTTCAAAAATAGTATTGTTGGGTAGTAAAAAGAGTATTGCTGGGCTGTGCGTCTGATTCGGTTTTAGGCGTTTGAGCTAAACCCTAAACTGCCCGTGTACACGCATATCAATTCAGCACCCACATGTAAGTATCGTTCCCAAATATGGCCACCTGTATGCAACTCGCCTCACGCGTTAGGTATCGACAGGCGGTATATATATAAAGTAGGCCGCTCTGTGTACCGGCGCCGTCAAAGTTACACTTGCATACACGCGCTGGTTTTATATAGAAAGTGAGTGAGACTGACCTCCTAAACCTGCCTACTCAAAAATACTACTATACCTACCGCTCGAACCGAGACTAAATATTTCTCTTGTACTGGGAGTCCTGTCCTATAATTAAAACATTTCTGCAATATACGACATTAGTCTAACAAAAACCATTCCATTGTACGGTGCCTCCAAGTATGTGACACGACTGCGTATGGCATCTGTGTACACCGGCAGCTTCCAGTACCGTTAGATTTCAGCTTTGAGTATGGACCCAGTGACCACCCTCAACTATAAAATCGTTCACGCTTTAGTGATATATACACATTCGCAGTATATGGAATATTTTTAGAAACTTAAACCATGAACCCTTATGTATACATTCACAGTATATGGAATAGATTTAGAAACTTAAACCGTGAACTCTTATGTATACATTCACAGTATATGGAATAGATTTAGAAACTTAAACCGTGAACCCTTATGTATACATTCACAGTATATGGAATAGATTTAGAAACTTAAACCATGAACCCTTATGTATACATTCACAGTATATGGAATAGATTTAGAAACTTAAACCATGAACCCTTATGTATACGGAATATATTTATAAACTTAAACCCTAAACCTTACACCCTAAACCCTAAATCCCCCACTAAATTTAGTACCTACACAATCTGAAATCTTATCGCTCTCAACGTATTCAATGATCCGATGGAAATGGTGTGAGAGAGGCTGTGTCGGGTGTGTCGTCTGTGTACAACGCCACATGCTCAACACCCCTGGATAACCCATCGTAACATCGTGCCTATTCCAGCTATAACCGCTCTCGATATAAGACTCATATATGTTTCATTCCTTTATATGCAAAATATGCTCAACACCCCTGGATAACCCATCTGTAACTTGGTGGCTATTCCAGCTATAACCGCTCTCGATATAAGACTCATATATGTTCCATTCCTATATATGCAATATGCTCAACACTGCTGGATGAACAAAAGCTGTAACATATTGGTTACTCCAGCTATAGCATGACCATAGAAGGCAGTACACCGCCAATAGTCACCTCGATATAGGACCATTATATGTTTCATTCCTATATATGCATTTACATTCTATAGATGAACGCCAAAGGTCACCCTCGATTATAAAACCATTATATTTGTTCCATTCGCATATATGCACTCATAATATAGAGATAGCGTTGATAGCGTTTATACAATACACGTCCACAAACAACATTACCTCTTCTTCCAAGCGTACTTGATGGTCACTCTCAGTTATACACTCATTGTGTATTTCACTCGTATATATGCGTTCACAATATTCAAATGACCGCCAATAATCACTCTCTATTACGAGACCAATATAAATCTCACCCGCACGTACATACTATATAACAAAGAAGATCGCCTATATACAATCCTATATGCAACATCGAACAGCCACCCATTCATGCATGATTAAAAGTCACCCTCGATTGTAACACCATTGTATGGTTCACTCGCATATGTACGTTCACACAACATATTTCCGTAGCGTATATACACTCACATATATAACATAACATACCCCTCCAAGCGTGATCAACTCCCCGTTAGGGATGGTGTATGTGAGTCCTCCGGGTGTGTCGTCTGTGTACACTGGCACGTTCTCAGCGCTTTCGGGTATCTTGGCCTTGATGACCACTCCACGTATAGGATAAGCATGTGTGTCGTTACAGAGCTCTCGCGAAGCTAATCCTGTGCAGTTCACCATTACAACATCATCACTGGATGAATGGGAGAAGCGGCTAAAATGTGTCAACATAGCAGTATTGAGAAATACATACATTCACAGGCGAATACAGATCAAAAAATTATACATATATATATATATTGACTTTTCTATCTGTATTGTAAATATATATA